ATTTAATTATTATTAAGTTTATAAGTGTTTGACAATATTTAATTCTATTAATTTAAACCACTTATTTACAGATATTATTTCCGTATTTTTCCTCAACAGAGATTCCACGCCAAACTGTTTCTTTTGGGGTATCTCGCTATTCTCACTGGAACTTGTTAAGTTCTTGTGGAAAATTTATTTTAACTTAGTTGATGTCCAACTACACACACATTTAAAAATTGTTTGCCATAGTGATAGCACAGCATATACAAAAACAATCAGCAGGCTAACTCTTACGCGCATCTTTTCTGCGCACGCCGCCATTAGCGGATACCATCCTGTCATTAAACGGCAGGGGCGTCGAAATTTTATTTTAATTATTTATTTCTGACGGAGGTCATAGGCGGACGGTGTAGAGCAGAATTTTAGTTATGATTTTCGAAGTGATTTAAGTATATTCGTGTTGTCATTTATAGTGTTATCTGTTATCATTGTTGTATATTTAATAATAATAATAATAAATTAGTATAAGTAATTAGTAACTATGTAAGTAATAATAAATTAGTTTATTTAAAGCCAATACGACTCTGTGAAAAGAAAGAAAAAACCTAAATTATCGTTAATCAGGCCCTGTTTCGTATCCCAAAATGGCCGCTAGTGACATTTCGACGATGAATTCCTTTATTACCCAAGATGTCACTCAAGTTAGCCTGCTGATTGCTTTTGTATATGCTGTACAACATGAAGCGGCCATGCTTATGCTAAAATACCAGGATTTAGATTTCAATTTTTTACGGCTAAAACTTTAAGTTTCAAGGATGATGCTTATTGGTACATGGATACCTTTAGCATGACTCTTTTTTTTGACGTTGTGATATACAGGGTGTTCCATTAAAGATAGTGGAGAATTTCGATGTTGAAAAACGGATGTTTTTTACTCGCCCTGTATGAGAGGCAAGAAAATTTGCAATCTACTAAAAAAAACTTTAGGCCAGGAGAAGTCGAATAGCGCAACCCGCAGGTCGCTAGCACAACTAGGTTAGAAGTTATAAGCATTTCAAATGGTTCACTCTCGGCTGGGACACCCTGTATGTAACAAAATTTGATAGTGTCTGCCAAAATTGTGCTGTCAAATAAATCTTCTGCCTATTCGAATTTTGGATACACTAGTGCTGCTCTAACGCTTTCACGAATATCCGCTATTATCAGTATTTTTTAACATAAATCAATTGTCATTATTCCAGCGTCTGCCAAAAAAACGCTGCCGTCTTTTTCGTCTGCCGATATTTTTTCTGAGAGTACGTTAGTAAAGGAATCGATTTGCAAAAAAACAAAATTTGATAAATGTCGTTCACTAAAACTTGAAAATTACCAATTTGACAGGCGTCTGCCGAAGTAATGCTGTCAAACAAATCGTCTGCCTGTGTAATATTGATAAGTCCTCAAACTGTTAATTCGTTTCCGAAAATTTCGATCTTGATCAATATCGTTCACCAAAATGAAAATTCATCCCTTTTTAAAATTTAACCCCCAATTAAAGCTGCCACCCTGAAACGGCAGACGGTCAGTTTTGGTATGTCCAGGGGTCGTATTTTCGAATTCATTCGAGTACATTTCGTATACGAAATTAGACTGACAGCAATGTAAATTAAATGGGGAGCATTCGAAATTTTATCAAATTTCGTATGCGAGAATATTCGAAAATACGACCCCAGGTAACCCTCAATGATGATTAATTAATAAAAATTTTGATCAATATCGTTCACCGAAAAACCTGCCAACTCCTATACTACTAGTGAATAAACATTCATTTAACTCACTTGAAGTATTAATAACTATTAAATGTTCTTTGTGATTAAAATAATATCTGGTAATAAGTTGAACCTGTCAGTACGGACAGTTTTTGAGAAATGATAAATAGTATATTACAATCCGAGACGGGAAATGCTTCATTGCTGATCGAGAGGTATTATAGTTTATCTCGACGCGTAGCGTCGAGATAAACCGAACCTCGAGAGAGGACGGAAAAAATTTCCTGTCCTCATTTCCCGTCCTGGGACAGGTAAAGGACCAGAAAAATGAAAAGACAGAAATGTGACATTTTCAAATTTTTGAAAAGTCAGTAATGACAACATTTCATATATTATGGTTAAAAATTAAAACATATACTTCACCCTTAAAAATTAAAGATCGTAGGGGCGCAGGGTGTGATATATTTTTTTAAATGTTCTTTGTGATTTAAATAATGTCTGGTAATAATTTGAACCTGTCAGTACGGACAATTTTTGAGAAATGCTAATAAATATATTTCCCTTAAAAAGTTCAAAGACCGTAGGAGCGCAGGGGTGTGGTATATTTTTTTAAATGTTCTTTGTAATTACCTTAATGTCTGGTAATATTTTGAACCTGTCAGTACGGACAGTTTTTGAGAAATGCTAAGAATCAGTTTCACCCTTAAAAATTTCAAAGAACTAGATACCTACTAATAATAAGAAAAAATAGAAAATTTTCATGTGATATCCTTAGGGAGCACCTAATAAGTCGATGTTACAAGAAACAAAGGTAAAATATTTCAAAAAGAAACCGACGCCACTGAACCTTCGGCTGCTTTCGGAAAATTGTCTGATAGCTTTTGTCTGATAACTTCACATCGGTTCGTTTATGTCAAATATGCAAAAGCCATCATGAAGAAGAAGAGGTCCACCCTTGCTCCAGAAGAAAACCAGAGTATTCAACTCCCCCGCTAATGTGGAAGTTGAAGCTAAGAAGGGAGGAGTTATATCACTTCTATTTGCTGAATCCTCATTTAAAATGGTTATTCTGCTTTTTAGCTTATTATAAATATATATATTTTCCTAGGATAGTCATTCAGTTGAAATCTATATATATAAAAATGAATGCCACTTTTCGTTGTAATTTTATAACTCAAGAACGGACTCACCTAGCCAAACCAAATGTTTAGGTTTTGTTCAGACTATTTATTAGATGGTTTATGTAAAGTTTGCACAAAATCAGTCGAGCGGTTCTTCATTTATCACATTTTTTGTAAATAAATAGAGGATCATTCTGTTAATGGGGGTTTTGCTGTTTAATTGAAACTTTTTTCAGCGTTGACAGTACCAGCATGTTGTTATGTCATTAATGTGGTCATTCCATTACTTATCTATATATATATATATATATATATATATATATATATATATATATATATATATATATATATATATATATATATATATATATATATATATATATATAAAAATGAATGCCACTTTTCGTTGTACTTTTATAACTCAAGAACGGACTCACCTAGCCAAACCAAATGTTTAGGTTTTGTTCAGACTATTTATTAGATGGTTTATGTAAAGTTTGCACAAAATCGGTCGAGCGGTTCTTCATTTATCACATTTTTTGTAAATAAATAGAGGATCATTCTGTTAATGGGGGTTTTGCTGTTTAATTGAAACTTTTTTCAGCGTTGACAGTACCAGCATGTTGTTATGTCATTAATGTGGTCATTCCATTACTTATCTATATATATTAAAATGAATGCCACTTTTCGTTGTAATTTTATAACTCAAGAACGGACTCACCTAGCCAAACCAAATGTTTAGGTTTTGTTCAGACTATTTATTAGATGGTTTATGTGAAGTTTGCACAAAATCGGTCGAGCGGTTCTTCATTTATCACATTTTTTGTAATAAATTAAATATTCAATAAATGGAGGATCATTTTGCTGTCAAATTGAAACTTTTTTCAGCGTTGACAGTACCAGCATGTTGTTATGTCATTAATGTGGTCATTTCAATACTTATTTTATTTATTTATGAAAAAAATTTACTAAGCCCGCATACGGCGCCATGTCTTATAACCGATACCAAGTTTATTTTGTATTTTGTATACCGCGCCATCTCTGATACCTGGAACGAAGCTCGGCATTGCAGATAGAGTAGAACAATGCTGCACAGAACTATTCCGATCAGATAGAGTGGTGCAGAAAGAGTAGGTCAGATAGAGTAGCGCAGATAGACCAGAACAGATGGAGTAGTGCAATGCATGCAGTGCAGATAGAGTGAAATAGGGCTGCGCTAGAGATTTTTTTGTTTTCTTTACATTCTTTGAACATTCCTGTGCCTGAGTTTATTTATTTGGTGGTAAACTTTACAAGAATAATGCCCACAAGCTGCCTAAAAAACGATGATGAAAAATTTTAATTTTAGGTGACTTCTGATCCAGAGAGTAAACATTAATTTTCTTCAACCAAAGCCAAATTCACCATCGAAAAAAACTTAATTTAATTCAGCTAATAGATAAATTAACACAACATTTAATAGGTATATTTAATAATTCAGAGGCGGTACGAAGTTCGCCGGGTCAGCTAGTTAATTATAATTGTAACTTTTATTGTAACGTGCTTTTCGCTAGTAGGTATAAATTTTCGGATTGTTAATAAAGTCATTTTTTAAAAACCAACCTTCAGTTTCTGACTTGTTAACTCACAGGATATTTTTCCAAAACCTTACCAGACCTTACTGCATGTTAATTTCTGAATTCTCCATTCTTTCAACTTCATTTACCAGTTTCTAAAGGAGTATGTGATTTTGAGCAGGAAAGACAAACAAGATAGGTGAGCGCATTCACGCGTAAAGAAATTTCAACAGGAACGAATCAAAATGAGGAATATTTCCGAAATATAGTTGATAATTACATCAATTTCGTCCAAATGTATCCAGTGAGATGTGAGATCTAAAGATTGAGCAACTTGATCAGTCTAAGTTTTGAATTTAACTATCGTATTAGCTGCAATAGGATGTAAAGATGAATTTGATAAGCTGTGAAATTTCTTTGTTGGAGTTCTCAAAATTTTGAGTACCTACACCATTACCTATACACCTCAAAATGATTTAATGAGGCAACTATCACAGGAACTATATCACCATAAAAACGATGCTTCAGGAATGCAAGATAATATCACTGGTACGATTTAATCGCCATCTAATTAATTGAAATGTGAAACTTACGCAAATCTGTCACAACTTGGCTGAGGAATAGTTCTCCAAACAGATTCTTCAGCTCCTCTTTGGTAGTTATTGTACAAAGATGGTCCAGAGGCAGAAGGACCGTATGAGCATCCTCCTTGAATGTTACCAAAACCGTAAACATTGTCAACATCGAGCAACCAATGCATGGAATAAATGTTGTCGCTTCCATAAGCCGACTTCAGTTCATCAGCAATTGGATCTCTACCTGTAAACAGACATTCAGTTTTTGAAGAATTTGATTTTAAAATAGCAACTTACCAACAGGAACACTGCTGTCGATGGTAGATGGGTATTGGCTAGGCGAGTCCCATTCTGGAGCATAAGTAGCTGGTTTGTTAGTATTGTACTGTCCGTTGGAGCTTTGCAAAGTTGGAATAATGTTGGCTTCCAGGTTGTTCCAAGCAGCGTTAAAGTTGCTGAAATCGCCTTCAACGGCGCCGTACATTGCTTCCAGCCAGATCCAGTAACTAATTAGATAATATCATGTTAATTTCTTGTGCCAATTCACATACCTACCACAAGCAAAGGTAGGCAGTAGGTAAATATTATTTCCAATACCATATTCAAATTTCGAGAAACAGATCCATGATTCGAAAAAATTATCTCAATCATGAATCTACTTTAATTTTTGTACATTTCGAATAAAATGAGAGCAACACTTCAAAAATATTTATCATTAGGTGAGTGTTTGTCCGCACTTGATATAGCATATAATCGAATATCAATGCACAAATATTCATACAAAAATATTGACTATGTAGTTTCTTTTCTCTAATATGTGCACAAAATTTAATAGGTTGTAGGTATGGTTCAATAGATATATATACCTACTTTTAAAAAACGTCAAGTTGCTATACCCTATTAAATTCTTGATTAGAGGAAATTCCATTTCATTCAAATTAAAAAAAAAAGTTATGGAGTTTCTTCTTTTTTCTACGTTCCTTTAAATTTGCCGATGTATGAGTGAAACTTACTGACCTGTATGTTTCCGAAGTGGTTTCGTGTCCATGATCAGGGCCTTCTACAATCAATGTTTCCACATTATGGTAAGGTACCTGGCCTTTGGAAAAGTATCCATGGCTCGGGTTCTTGATTTTCTGGTACTGTTCCAAGAAACGTTGCGTGTAGGTGCCGGCATTAATGCCCGCCACCAGCGCTATCGCTACGATAGCGAAAACTTTCATTGCACAATACCTAAGTGAATTGAAAAAAAAAAAATATATTTTTCGAATTTCGTAAATCAGTGGAGGTACATACCTGACTCAGTGTTCAGTGGAGAAAACAGATGATGGAATGATAGTTTTTTTGTTTTTTAAAAGGTTCTTATATGTATCAATTTCAAAAAACGTTATCTTAAAATGGAATGGGTTTTTAGGTAACTAAATAATATATTGAATAATAAACCACTTGAACAAAATGTTGCACGGAAATTTGGATTGTATGGTTTTGGAATAGGTGACCTTGAAATCGAAATTATAATGTGAACTGATGACTTGGGAGGAAAACTATTTATAATCATGTATGTTGCACTTCGTCTTGTTTACTAGGTTTATCTGCAGGAGCGTATTTCAAAACATGCTTTTTTATTTTTGTAAGTACCGCTATACCTAGAATATTCCAAATTTGTCAATACTTTGAGAACAAATTATGTCAATATATTTAAATAAATGAATAAAAATAATTTCGAGCAAAAATTATTTATACGGTTTTATTTCACAAAACTCTGCGTTATTCAAAAACAGAATAAAGAATGATCGAACAGTCGAAAAAATAATGCCAAATTATTATATTGGAAATAACAACTCATATAACAAAATTGCATCCTGCGAATGTAATGGGAATGTTCTTTTTTTTTTAGGTAGAATGTGCCTAGAATGTTCGCCAAAACCATTGCGAATGTCCTGACTGAGAATGTTCTAAGAAAAGATTGTAGAAATACCGATTGCAATACCCAAGAACTTCCTGGGAAATCCATTAGGATATTCCTACAATATACCTATGAGATTCTTAGTACATCCTGAAAAGAATATTCTTGTTTGATTCTAAAAATATGCTCGAAATATATATTGTCACATTGAAAGAATGTTTCTATAATATTGTAGTTATGTTTTCAACAAAATATTGCACCAATATGCTTGAAGTATTTTTAGAATATACCTACCATTCTCAATATGCATCCTAGACATAAGATTCTTGTTTGATTCTAGGGATATACTTGAAATTTACATTCCGCATCCAAATAATGTTCCTTTTACATTATAGGTTCCTAGTGAGAGTTGTTAGAAAGTTTCTTTAGAAAACACAAGTGTTTAACCAAACCTCCGGTTTCGAGCTTGTTATGCTCTCGTCAGACGTCAGCGCAATATAAGCGGTAAGTACGCTAATTCAGAGAAACAGTTCCAACGAAATTCACACGATAAAAAAGATATAGATCTTTATTAGCGCGTGGCTCCCTCTTTTCAGTCTCTTCGAAGTTCTACAAAGCTAAAGAGAAAGAATAAACCTATAATATATTTAGAAGGTTCTAGAGAGAACATGGTTGTTTAATTGTGCCACTAGGGTTTTTGAGAAGGTAAATACTTCAGATAATTAGGTGAACAATATGAAAATATTCTTATCATGGATGGGTACCTACATACATAAACTTCTCAACCCAACTTGGTAGGTATATTCCTAATACTTGGATAGAGATATTACCCGAGAGAATATTTTTTAGTACATGTATGTACATTATAATAAAATAACCAGTTTGTCATTTACTGCCGCTTTGGATTTGGTTCAACCATAGTAATAGTTTGAAAACCTAATAAAAAGACTTCTTTTGGATCTTAAAGATCTAAGCAACGCTATTGTGAAAGAATATTATAGTATACAATATGTCCAAGATAAGGAGGGCCAGTATGGGGATCTTGGAAACAGTGAAAGATTTTTGTGCTCATTAAAATAGCGCTCTGATGTTTTCAAAATTCCGATTGATACCGAAGATATCCGGGAAAACGCGGGGAAAACCCGAAATTCGCCCAAAATGATTTTATTTTTCCTGACCTTATTTGAAGGGATATTTCAAAATAAATGGCACTTCGTCATTGCCACTTTTCCTCCTCTACAATATGGCATCAAATTTGTAATCCGACGTTTCGTCTTTGAGCCACCATATCACCAGATCCCCATACTGGCCCTCCTTATCTTGGACACATTGTATAGTATTCCTACGTTAAATGATGTTTGTTCTAAATTAAAAAATTCTAACTATTTTTCAGTTTTAGATCTCAAAGATGGATTTTGGCAACAGTTAAATCCTGATACTGAAAAATTGTGCACTTTTGGAACAATGTTTGGTTCTTACTGTTTTATTAGACTACCATTTGGTTTAAATATTGCTGCAGAAGTTTTTCAAAGATATAACGAACAAATTTTCAGTAATATTGAAAATGTTTTTATATATTTATATTTTTACGCTCCAGGAGACTGGTTCTCTGGATGGTATTTTCTGTTTGATCCTGATGGTTTAGGATAGAAGAGCAGAAAGGCCTTGGTACCAGACAGGACTTCAAAGTCATGGCACTTGCACTAGGACGTAAGATAGGTAACTTACAACCAGACTAAAGCACTTGTTGTAAGTTGGAAGGAAGACCCCAGCCAGACAAAGCACTTGCTACAGATTTGAAGAAGGGCCGAATGTAACCAGACCGAGCACCTGCTACAATAAGGCTAAACAAAAGTAATAGGCCGTCGGCGGACAAGCGTTTGCGTTCAAAAACCCGGTATTGACGTATAATTTATTGAGACTAGTATCACATGATTCAGCATATTTTTCTCCATAGAAAATCGAAATGGACGACTTTTTTCATTGGTCGAGAGCTAAGTTAGGAACAAAAAACTAAAAATATTCGGGAATTAAAATTTTCAACTTTAACCTCGTACAACTTCTAAACCGCTTGAGGTAATAAAATGATTTTTCGTCTAGATCCAAGAAAAACTTATTCTCTTCAATATGGTGTATATATTATTTGAAAAATTTCAAAGTAAAGCTCAAAAAATTAGTTATTACGTAGACACGGCGCGAATCGGTAAATTATATATTTGCTTTAACCTGCGATAACTCCTTTATATATTGGAGTATTCAATTCATTTTTCGCTCAAAAACTGGCAAATTTAATTGGCTTTCTTTTGACTCAATTATATACCTACCTATTTTCAATAATAAACTCAATAGAGCCATTTAAAGACGATGGCGCACGGTCCGATGCCGACGGCAGAGTTGCGTTGACTACGTCTCTGACCTCGTACACCGACCGCACGTGCGTCCAAATAGTTACCAATATTCCCAATTATTCCTGCTGGCAGTGTTGGCAAAGCTCCATTATTCCAGCGTTTGTATTGTATTATTATAGTTAATGTATATTGTTGATAGTGTAGTGTAATGTAATGTAGTGTACTCAATATTTTTGTGTTATGAAGGTAAGAAGTAAGTATTGATTTTATTGAGGAAAAATGATAAACAAAAGTACAATACTCGGTAAATATAAATGAACATAAAAGGTTTGATAATTTCTAAATATTTAACAATACTCTAATAAGTCGTCTTCAGCGTCGTCTAACAACTCTACGACCTCAATGTTAGTGCACTTCATATTGCACTTGCAATCACTCGAGCAAAAAACTCCTTCAGATTTACAGGCACATTTGCTATTGTTGCAATTCTTTTCTGTACAAAATAGGCTAATAACTTTTCGTATTTCATCTGGAATGGGCGTCTTATTGGTGAATTTTGGCGAAAGGCAGTTATTTGTATCAATTGTCCATCCATAATTTTTCGGGTCTAATCCTAATCTATCAACTAAGCCAATATGACTCATTGTCCAGAGACGAACTTGATAATAACATCTGTAAAACCAAAGTAGAAATGCTTAAAATACATTTAGTACGTCTATTAGTTGTGGTAATATAAGGTCTGTTTCTACAGAAATCACAAACCGGTTAGAGCGAATTTCATTGGTTGAAAACAGTCAGGTAACTAGTTTCAACCAATGAAATTCACTCTGACAAGTTTGTGATTTCTACAGAAACAGACTTATAATCACATTCAATAATTGATTTTCCTACGAACGTGCGGTTAGTAATCATAAACCGCTCAAATTTGCGAGTGGAAAATTGTACTTTTCGGCACTATAGGGCAACATAGTAAGTTTTCCCACAGCAATACGTGCGGTAAGAACTACACCCAACACGTGCGAAAAGTGTCTTTTCCGCTTAATACTTGCCCCCACTCGTGTGCAGAAAAAAAATATATTACTTACCTGAGTACATGCAGATAAAAGGCGTCTTCAGTGGGGGGAATTTCTTACGCAGACTTTTTCGTTTCCTTCGTCATTTTCTGTCGAACTTCGTTTAAATCTTTACATTTATCGTTTCTATATAAGGATGGAGTAAACTTTCTAGCAGAGTCCAGACCTTGTTCAATAGAGGTTTTTCCAAAAGAGTGCAGGTCAAATTGCTGGTGGTTCCGAAAATATATTTGCCAGGCAGATTTTTTTCTAATTTTAAAGAAGGAATTAGTGGTATCACATCCGGTTATGGCGTGGAAAGCTGGTAATCCATCCGAAATTGGCTTTTGTAAGGTCTGCGCAATTAAGTGAATAGGAACAAATCGTTTTTTATTAGTAGATGTAGTGTTGTGACCTTTTTCTATATAGATTTCCGATGCATTTAACTTTTTGTCATTCCAATAGAAATAGATCAATAAAACCAATACATCAGTGTCGTCTGACTTAACAACAATGGGGCTCCCAGTGGAACTATGCACTAAGTGAAAAATAAGCCGGGTATCAGCTTCTTCATGATTAGACTGTAACAATTCATCGACAGTAACTCCCGAATTTTTGACCTAAAAATAATTTGTATTTGAAAAAAAATCAACTCAAAACAAAGTATTTGTTTACCTTAATACTCATACTTCCATCTTGAAGGCCTCCGGCTATCCAAAGAACTTTTTCCGGTGGTAGCTTTGGTGACGACTTAATTAAGTATTGTGTCACAAACTTGATTAATGACATTTATTTACGACTAATGTATAATGTGCGTATTATATTTGTGATTTTGGCAGTATAATGACATATGTTATTCCTCCAGGGATTAATGACGAGTAGCGGGATTAATGGTCATTATTCCACAAAAGTGTCAGTGTCAAACGTGTAGTGCTTGTGGATTTGTATTGAAAATTATGAGACGGATGAAATTTGTTCATTGAAAATCTCAAAAAAATTAATTTGTCGTAAATAAAGTAGAGTATACTACTCGCAATAATGGCTATTATTCCCTCGGAATGTTACTCCCTCGCCGCTAACGCGGCTCAGTTCGTAATAATCCTCGGGAATAATAGCTATCATTATTGACTCGTGGTATAATCTACTATTTGTTTGATGTAGATTTCAAAAAACTTGCACAAACTATCCGGAATTTCATCTCTACA